CAGTAGATAGGAATGGCCCATTAAAATTTAAAACCAATTACCAAGTGACGTCACGCTTTTGTCGCTTATCACCTCCCACAAACACACTCACACGCTAGGCCTTGAACTTTAAAATAGGGTCCCACAACCCTATCTCAAAATTTCATTGCAGGCTGTTGTTTTTCAATACAAGATAATTTAAAACCTCGGTTTTTTTTTTCCTTTCTAAATAAATATTGAGTATATAAATCAATTCCTGGCCATGACGGAGATAGAATAGAGCAGTGGTTCTCAACCTCTTTGGCCGTACTGAACCGCATCAGTTTCATATGCCCATTCACCGAACCTTTCTTAATAATTCTATCATCCGCACCGACTAAATCCTATTGTGAAACATTTCACCTCCGTCGAACCCTTAAGAATGACTTGCCGAACCCCTGGGGTTCGATTGAACTCAGGTTAAGAACCACGAGCTACGGTACGATCAGTGTTTCCTCCAGACTTTTTTCTCCGGGGGGGGGGGGGGGGGGACGACTTGAAATTTTCGGGGGAAGGGGGGGCAGAGCTCTTTCTCTTCAGTCCCCTTCCACACCTCCCCCCCCCCCCCCCCCCCCCCCCCCCTCAGAGATGTCTGGAAGAAACTCTGGGTACGAAGATCCAAGTGACAGTTGCAATCTTACAGGCCTTGTCATGTTCTATATAAAACAAACACCGTACAAATGTTGCTGCCCGCGGCCACCATACAAATGTTGCCGCCCGCGCAAAATGCAGCTGTTTTCTGTTTACTCCTAACACGTCAGGCGTAAGATAAAAATTTCCCGAAAAATTGCCTGTGACGTAATTCTTGCCTGAGTCAAGTTTTTACCTGAAGCCAGCCTAGCAGTTCCACACACTAGAGGACTGCTGTATACCTGCTCTTGTAAACTACAACTTAAGTTAAATTAAGCTGCTCAATACCGAACAGGAAAGTGGACTTGTAAGTTGTATAGCAAAACTATTTTTTAATCAGTAGTAACTATTTTTTTTTAAATATGGAACTGTTTCATTACTTTTTATTAATAGTTAACAAGTGATATTCTTAGTGTGAAGTTAGTACTTGTTCCTTCATAGGAACTATTCCATCCATCTTTTTATAAGGTTTTTATTTAGCTTGCTCGGTACGTGGTGTATCAGTATTCAGTAGGCTTAGCAGATCTTGAACTCTTAATACACCAATAAAAGGGAAGATAATAAGATTAATAAAATTACAACTAAAGACAAGCGATCGCTTGATCAGAGGGCCGCCGATGGTGAACTCTTTTTCAGTTCGCGGCCGACGAAATCAGCCAACCATGAAGTGGTGACCGCTTAGTTTGCTGTTGCGCCATCTTCTGCTGTGAAGCCAAAAGTTGACATGCTACCCATGGACAAAAAAAAAAAAAAAAAAAAACGACCTCGGGAAAAGGGTCATACATATCTATCATTTCAAAATTGTCCAAGACCCCAAAATTGACCCCCTGGCATGTGCTAACACAATATGTAACACAAAAATAACCTTATTTATGAACAAGTACTTAGACAATCACTCTGATGAAGTATTTCTTAGAGCCACTACTGTTAAGTTTTTATGGTAAAGCATTGGATAAACGACGTTTTAAAATGTTTGTTCTAAGCGGATTTATAATTTAAAACAATTAAAATCTAAGCACTTAACGTGCTATTAAAAAAAGTTAAGTGCCGAAATGGTCAACCATTTCAACTGATTTGCGCCCTTTCCGACTCCTACCGTTATAAATCTTGTGAAAATATAGTTACAATGATGTCACTAACTCTCAGTCACGTTTCTTCAATAACAGTGTTTCTTCCAGACTTTTTCTCCGAGGGGGGGGGGGGGGGTGGGCGCTTGAAATTTTCGGGGGGGGGGGGGGGGGAGGACACTGATAAAAGTATATATTTAAAAATATTTTTATATTTTCTATATAAATTTCCATTTCGTTCGGGGGTGGGGGGGGGGGGTATAGAATTTCTTCCCTGAAGAGAGATGCCTGGGAGAAACACTGTTCAGTTCAATAGCCTAATTTTTCAGGGCACCCACTCATTTCTAATTGCACGATGTCATGTTTAGACAATGCATTAAATTGAAAAGGAAAATATTGATTAACTTATGATAATTTGAATTACTAACGTGTGCTCAGTTCTAAGTATAGTAGCATAGAAATCTACAAGATTGTAAAAAAAAAATTGTGTTGCAAAAATAAGGTAGGCCCTACATTCGTAATTATGGATTTTCCCGTTGTCTAAGTAAAGGATAAAAATAGCATTAATCTCTTCGGGAAAAAAAATCAACACGTTGGCTTGAAAGATGCTTATTACGTGCCAAAAACAACGAGTCCAAATAACTGCATATTTATTCTTTAACTACTCACACTTCTATTTACGGATTTTGCCGGGGGGAGGGGGATATAGAACAATATTATTGAGTTACAGAGCGACACCACGCGATTCAACCGTGAATGTTTTATTTTCAAATCAAATTTCTTCTTGATTCATTTAAATGCTGGGGCTATTGTTAATATCTCAAACTCAAAATACGCACAGTGATAAAATTGTAACTTACCGGATGTCAGTGTAGAATAAGGGAGCGGTTAGGCGCTAAAGTACTTTCATTCTGTTGTAATATGTTTATAAACAAACGTGTGGTCAGCTGGATGGACTCAGGGCGGTCTATTGACTTGAACCCGGATTCGAACTCGAGACTGGTTAGCAGTCCAGCTCTCTACCCCTAGGCCACTCCGTCCCTCAGCCATCTTATGCTATATGGCTTAATTCCCATCGCTTTTCTTTCAATGGGATTTTTTTTTTTACTTTTTTGTTCTACCAGGACCGACGTCACAATGTCCAGAGATGTTGACCTGCTTCTCATCGGGAAGACGGGCAATGGGAAGAGTTCAACAGGCAACTCCATCCTCAAGAGACGAGTGTTTAAAACCAGCGCCGACACCAACTCCGTGACCAAACGCATCCGCTCCGATTGTGCCGAGTACAACGGTCGCGTGATCAAGGTCGTTGATGGACCAGGGGTTGGTGACACTGACCTTAGCGGAGAAGAAGGTTTAAAGCTGGTCATTGACTGTATGAAAGACGCCATAGCTTCTAACACTAAAGGGTACCACGCTTTTCTATTGGTTGTCCGATATGGAGGGAGATTCACTAAAGAGGATCAACAAACGATAGAGCGGTTGAAGGGTATTTTCGGAGAAGACCTGGTCAGGAAATATTGCATCTTGCTAGTCACTTGTGGGGATAACTTTGACCCTGAAGAGGCTGAAACCAATTCTTTTGAAAGTTGGTGCCTTAATCAAACGGGTCCGTTCAAGTTTCTGGTAGAAGAGTGTCAGAGACGCGTCCTGTTGTTTGACAACAGAACTAAAGATGAAGCTAGGAGAGACGCTCAGATTGACAGGTTATTAGACATGGTGGATGGTCTAGACAACAACGGACAACGCTACACTCACGTGGAGTTCCAAAACGCGGAGAAACATCGAGAAAGACTTGAACTGGAATCCAAGCTTCCGGTTATAAGAGACGATCAGTGGAGAGAATCCAGCCTTATTTTACAACAACTCACCGCGATCAAGTTTGATGATTTTGATTGCCAGCTTTCGAGACTCCAGAAACTAAAAGAGAGGGCGAAAACTTTACTGGAAGGTTTTTTACAACTGGACAACAACACGGGGGCGTTGATAGAGGTAATCAAAAATGCCAGAGAAATACTTGGCACCGTCGATGAGCAGATTGTGAAGACCCAGGAAGCGAAGATTACCCACGAGAAACAGAAGAAGTTGGAGGAAGAAATGAAACGTCTTAGAGAGGAACGTGAACGTAGTGACAGAGAACATGAAGAAGAGAGAAGGAGAGAAAGGGAAAAGAGGATGGAGGAGCTAGAACAAGAAATGAGAGAAAAAAAGCGCATGATGGATGTAACGTTGGAGGAAATGCGAAAGAAAGCTATTAAGGTAGAGGAAGAACAAGTTCAAGTGAAGGAAAATTCTATATGGGGGACGATTAAATCCATTGGCTCCTTTATTTTGAACACGGTTGCTCCGTTTATACTGAGAAAATTAATTTTCAAGGTTTAAACAGATCTATACCATACAACGATGGTATCAACGACCTTCCGAATGTGGAATCCTCCAAAGATTATGTCAAAGCCACACTCTCAGGCAGCTGATGATCAGCTTCAGTAAGGCTGGGCCACGGGACAGGCCAGAAAAAAAAAAAACTGGACTGCAAAACGAAGAAAGATGACCACTAAGAACAGTGACCCCCCCCCCCCCCTTCACACTACAGATGTTTGCAAGAAACACTGCCTACAAAGCATTCAGAATTACTTTAATTAAGAACCCTTTGGCCCATATTAAAGCGTTAAGTTCTGTATCGTTATATTTCAATAATTCATACATAAATTTAAAGTTTATTTTGTTTACAATGTTAAGCTGTATAATGAGAACTCTATCAACATCAGTGAAAAATAATGTTAATGGCATTGGTTAGGGTCAAATGTTATATTTGATACTATTGTGCTTCCAGTGACTTAACAATGGCCCCACTTTATACCTCAAGAACTAGGGCCGACATGTCTTGTGTTGTGTTAAAATTACTATTTTTTGAGAAAAATTTTCATGTACGATATTTTTTTTTTTTTGTAAAACACTAATATGCTTTTAATAAAAAATTTAAAATTATATAAAGAATAATAAACTTAATTAAAGCCAAATAGTTTGAGTCACTGATTAATGCTATGTTTTGAATACATGACTAATGTTATGATCTACCCCACTTATCTTTAAAGATATTTAAATAGTGGTGCAATATTATAAATTTAAAGAAACATTTTCTTCTTTTTTGTGCATATTAGAATAGCTTAATATTATAAAAACATAAAATACTTTTGTGAAAGAATAAATAAGTGTAGGCCTATACAATTAATTTGAATTATTACAATTATTATTATTGCAATGCTCAACTGCAAAATACATTTTATGGATTTAAGTAAGGTGGAATTAAGTTTTAAAAGATATTGCAATTTTACTGTTACTAAGTTACAGACAGGCTGTATCAGCACTATTACAACAATTATAGATTTTTTTTTTCTTTTACATACTCAAACTATAATTTTATTATTTATATAGATCTAGATCTATATGGAATGGAAGTAAAACCTTAACTTTAAAATTATAGTTAACCACAGTATAGCATACGTTTTATAGATTCATCCAACATCATAAAAATAAAGTTACTAGTCTAGATCAACTACTTGTAAGCCTACATCAGGCAGAGATCTATTGTAATGTTTTTCTTTGATACTTTCTTGACCTCAGTCACACAAGCTTGCACCTGTAATATCGTTGTCGTAGAATTTAGCAAATTCTTCACAATCGCATTTCAATTGCTGTTTCTCCTTTTCGTTGTCTATTTTAACAGAATTTAGATTCAACAAAAACGAAAACCGGTTTATCAAAACTTCAAGCCGAACACTGGGATCATTAATTTCCACTTTTAACCGATTGATAATCTCATGCATTACTCGGTTGATTTCCTGCTATGCTGTGTGTTAGTCCAACATCTCTTGATGTTTCACCAGCCATCATATTCCGGGTGTGGGGAAATTGCGAGACGCGAAAAGCGAAATGGCGAGGCGGGAAAATGCGAGAAGGTAATGCGAGACATACCTGCGGAATTAAGGGTAAATAGCGAGCGAGACACTTTTTGCGAAAAAAAGTTTTTTCCTTTTTTTTTCCATCTGTATTTATTTAAATTATTATTTTTTTGTTTTAGAATAAACAAGCTTTTAGCCATACCCTTTAACACGAGTGTTGTATGTTGTTATTTTTTATCTAGATACTAAGAAGATAGATAGATCTAGATCTATCTATTTAAAAATCCTAACATCGTTGCTGTGCTACTGTCATCGCCCGCTCTTGTTAGCGAGAGGAAAATCCCGTCTCAGTCGGCATTAATTTAAAAATCTAGCCCGCTCATGTTTATACAAACGTGAGCTGTGTCATTGTGAATTGGTATAATCTTGTCAGCAGGAGAGATATTTTGCAACATCTATTTATGGATTTTTGTACTTGCAAAAAGTGTAAAAGTATAAACAATTCTAAAAAGTGCAATTTATTTTTTTATTAAGTAATTTTAATTACAAACAAAATTTACAAACAAAATCGTCTGAAACAGTCCTCAAACACGCCTCGTGAAACCATCTCTCACACATAGTACACCCAACCCAGTTCATTAGACTCCCATTTATACATTTTTCTTTTGCTACTTCTTCCAATCCACATTCACAACATTTCACATTCTCATCACAGTTGACCTCCTCGTTCATCCCACAAACAACACTGGCACCCATGTTCTCATCATCATCATCATCCGCACGCTCAACATCTGTTTTCCGTTTTTTATAAGTTGTATTTTTTATCATTTCTGTAATTTTGGCAATGTCTTGCTCATTGTTGTCACCAGCAGTTGAGTTTTTTTAAAACATCGATATTTTCCCAAAATCTTGTTTAATTTCGGTCAAAATAGAGTATTTTAATCAATTCCTATTACAATGTATTAAAACAGTTTTCTAAAACGCGAAAAAAATTCTTTTTCTAACATTGCTTTTTTATAGTGTGACTTCACATCTACCCCCCCCCCCCTCCTGCCCCTCATCACACATCGTCATAAAATTACAGACCCCCCCCCCCCTACGAGTGTGACGTCATTTATGGAAGACCCCAAATAACACCACCACCAAAACCAAAAAATTCAGATAAGTTCAACTTGGTTTTAAAAATATTTGAAGTAGGCCCATAGCTTACGATATAGCACTAGCAACTGATAATATCGGTGACGTCACTTTATTTTGTTGTATCCAAATGATGTAGGCATTTCCTTGTGCTTAGATTTATATGGTAAAAAAAGCTAGAAAAAAATCGTAGGCGGCGGCTATAATACAAAATTTCTATGCAATAATAGAAAATATGTTTGCGGCGGGAGCGGATCCGGGCACGGCGATCTTCAAAGACGGTAAATCAGGCGGCCTCGGCGTTCCACACAAAAGACAGAAGTTGATCTATCGTCGGCGGTATTTCCGTCGGTTTCGAACAAGGTGGTATTCTAAGTTGACACAAAAGATGGGGGGAGTTCACAAATCATCAGTATGTCTAGCGACGGAAAAATCGGAAGTTTTAACAATGTAAATGTAAACGAAACGTCTTTGAAGTCTGGACCAAATACCACTGAAAATCGGGTGCGGTAAATTTTTCGCAGAAATCTTCGCATTTCAACACCACCCAGCGTAAGTATCCGCTTGTGGTAAAATGCGAGACAAAAAAGTCACGTGACCGACCGTTTTCGCGCCCTTCTCGCATTTTCCCGCCTCGCCATTTCGCTTTTCGCGTCTCGCAATTTCCCCACACCCTCATATTCCTTCTCCTTGTGCTATAGGTATTTCCAATTTGTCACAATATTCATTAGCTGAGATTATCGCGTTGTTAATAATTTCTTCAGCCTTTAAGATTCAGCTAGCCCTTTTAAATCTTTGAATGCTTGATGAAATCCCATTTTTGGATCTTGTAATTGTTTTGAAACTTTCTGCACTGCTGCCAAAATTTTAACATTGTCAACGCTATCCATGAGTTCTTTTTGTCTATGGATAGCGTTGACAAACGATCCAGCGTCAGACTTGGTATCTTTTGAAAAATCTCCTTCTTGTAAATGTTCAAGGCTAGAAATTATATTATCTCTTTCTTCTTGAATTGCATGTACAGCATCATATCGTGAGCTCCATCTTGTGTCACAGTGTCTTTTGACTGATAATTTAGTTAATGTCTTTAATACTTCTCAGTGTGAAGATAATGATGTGAAAAAAGTGAAAACTTTGTCCACGGTTCCAAAAAAAGTGACTACAACAGGTTGAACCTCACTTGCATGAACCCATGCTAAGTTAAGGCTGTGGTTTTCGCAATTAACAAAAACTGCCTTTGGGTTAATGTCGATAATTTTTCTTTGAACGCCTCCTTTAACCCCTGCCATAACTGATGCATTATCATATGATTGACCACTACAATCGGAAATAGAAAAGTTGGCAGAAGATGGTATTTCTAACATTTCATTTACCAAGCTTTCTGCCTCTTTTTTATTTACTTGAAAATAAGCAAAAATACTTTTTATTTCAACTTCTTTGTTTTCATTAATTCGCTCATACCTCATTGTGTGAGATACCTAATCTTAATGCGAAATAGCTGGAGTTAAATCTACCATTATTGTATACTATTTTGCAGCCTTTATTTCTAAAATAATTCGATTCTTTATAGTTTTGGAAAGAAGATCAGTAATTTTTTTTTTAATCTTATTAGATAAGTATGTGACACCTTTAGGCGTGTCTTTCTCTCTCTGCAGGTGCTCAGCAAAAATATATTTTGCCAGCTAGGAAATTCCCGGTGTTTTCGACCATTGTTTCTTCTGGCTTTGCTAAAGCCCACACTCGATGTCCCCGAAAAGCCATGTTCTGTTTGGCGATGAATGAAATTATTTCGACAATCCTTTCAGTTATGGCTACCCATTTTTTCTTTTTTGTAGATATTTGCTCTTGTAGCTCAGCCTCTATTGTGGTACATTGCCTTAGTCCAGGGGTCGGCAATCTTTTGAAGCGGAAGAGCCAAAAGTTAAAATTTTCAAAATTTCCCTGGTGTTAAAGAGCCACTAACAACTTTTTTTATTTTAAGTATTTTATTTTTTTATTAAGATTATTAGTATTTGTGCAAGGAGCTGGAGAGCCGCATCTTGACATCAAAAGAGCCGCAGGTTGCCGACCCATGCCTTAGTCGAACAACAAGGTTTACGTATTCCCTCATGTACGCTCTATGAGATGGACTTTTCTCGTGATCCGGTGTACGGGGATTCAGCTTTCTCCATGTGGAGAAACCTTTTTCTTGGCTAAAATTTGCCGCTGACTGCTAGTTTGAAAACAAACGTTTTTATGTGGAGAAAACAGCACCATTTGTCGAGCGCTTCTCAAACCAGTTTGGTAAAAGATCTGTCATCTTTGTCACATTTTGTGCTATTTTTCTGGGCCGCATTCAACTATTGTCACAAACGTGAATACAAGTAAAATTACTTTCAAGATGCCCAGACGATATATAAAATGAATGCGGGCATAATTACTGTTTGGATGCCCTTCAAATATGATGAATATAAGCACAATTACATAAAAGATGCCGCTACAGTGTATAAATTATAATCATGGGCTTTAATACTCTATGGATGACTTTAAGTGGAAATGATTATGAGTTCATGTTCTCTAAACGATGCCCATACCAACACTATACCTAAATAAGTATCAGATACTCAATTAATTGAAAGACTGAATACAATTAATATCAATGACTACTACCCTTCACAGATGCTTAAATCAGTGTCATTTGTTGAATATACACATTTGGGTGAATTCGGAAAGTTGATAATTCTGCCTAGGTAGACAAACCTAAGACAACTTTCCTCAAATTTTTTTTAACCCCTTTGGATACCCCCCACCCCCCTAAACACGCCACTGATCTGAGAATTTTTTTATCAGAAACTCTCTACCTTTAACATACTTGTAATTGTCTGATATTCAATTAAAACAGTTTGAAGAACAAAAAGCACAACTTTACACACACACAAATAATAATGTAAAAAATATTTTTTAATACAGTTGTAACATAAAACAAAGTTAAATCTTGATTTTGCTTGACAA